TATATATATTTTTTTTTTCCCACACTGCGGATTGAACTCAGGGGAGTCACATTGAGCTACATCCACAGCCCTTTTTAATTTTGATTTTATTTCATTTTTTATTTTGAAATGGTCTAAGTCATTAAGTTGCCCAGCCGGGTTTCGAACTTTCATTCCTCTTGTCTCAGGTTCTCGGTGTCCTGGGATTATAGGCCTGCACCACCGTACCCAATTTGGCACTTATTTTTTGTTTTTATTTTTTTGCGCTGGTGCCGGGGATTGAACTCAGGACCCTGAGCTTGCGAGGTAGGCGCGGTGCCACTGTGCAGCTCGGACTGGCCTTGAACTCACTATGGCCCAGGCTGACCTCCAATTCACAGCAATCCTCTTGCCTCAACCACCCCAAAGCTGGGATAATAGGCGTGCGCCACCTCGCCCTGGGGGTGGCGCTTTCTTTCCTTAGAACCTATGAAGTGCCTACCCCTTATTTCTAACCTTCCAGTGACTCCCAGAGTCGCCAGGCTCTGCTCTCTCCTGCCCAGCACGCTACCAAATCATACTTCTTGGATTCCCTAAGGTGTCATTTCGCTCACACTGCCCGCCCGCCCCCCCCTCCCCCCGCCGTGCGGCTCAGCCCGGGCGTCCTGTAGGTCTCGCCCTCCGCAGCATTTTACTACCTGGTACAGAACTGTGCCGGCAGCTCCCTGTTTGATCGAGGCACCAGCCCTATATATGTTACACGTATTGGTCCTTTATGTGTTTATTAGATCACTGGGAGGTAAATTCCTTGCTTCTCTTTTTTACCCCGGTGTCCCAGATCCTGACACCGAAGTTGGCACTAGGAGCTCAATAATTATTCTCCTTCTCTTGTAATCTCTACCTCCAAGTCTTAGAGCCTTGAATGAATATCCGCATCTGTCCACCGGCCAATGAGAGAGGGGGAATATTTGCATATTGCCTTCCTATTGGTGAAATCCAGGCTTCTCGGTTTCTTTTGGCCAGTGAGGTGAGGGTCATAGTAATCTTCCTCTGTGGCCACACTCACTCCTACCCCAAGAAAAGAGGTGGGGCGGTTAACAGGGAGGAGAGGTCCCACGGGAGAAGGTGGTGTTAAAAATAGCTGGGCCAGAGCAAGGCCAGGGGCCAGAGATCGCTTACACGGTGGAATCAGATTTTGGGGTGAGTCTCAGATCAGATCTAAAGTCCCTTGAGGAGCCAGGGCTGGGGCAGGGGCAAGGCAGGTTAAGGCTCTCTAGGCTGCAGGTTCCCAGGCCCTGTTCCCACAGAGTCCCACTGAATCATCTGAGCTCTCAGAAACCTGCATTCCTCCTTAGGGTGTGTGTGTGTGTGTGTGTGTGTGTGTGTGTGTGTGTGTGTGTGT